CAGGCAGCCACCCAGAGCTCCGGGGGTCCCTCCTGCACCCCCCCTCCCCCCCCCCCCCAGGTTTATCCGGGACCGCGTGGAGCGGTGCGGGGACGCGCAGGCGGTGGCCCTGAGCCAGGCGGAGCTGGGGGGGCCGCAGCCCAGCAGCCCTGACACGAAGCACCTGAGCGAATGCCTGCGCCGCATCGGGGACGAGCTGGACAGCAACACGGAGCTGCAGAGGTGGGTGAAGGTGCCGTGAGGGGACGGGGGTCCCCGGTGCACCCCCTCTGCGCTAACTGGCCCTGCCAACGCCCCCCCAGGATGATCGAACAGGTGGGGTGCCATGCCCCCAAGGAGCTCTTCTTCCGCGTGGCTGCAGAGATGTTTGCTGACGGCACCTTCAACTGGGGCCGTGTTGTTGCCCTCTTCTACTTTGCCTGCAAGCTGGTGCTGAAGGTGGGCCCCCTGTCCCTCCCCCTGTGTCCTCCCCCCAGCCCCCTCTGACACTCCCACCCACCTTGTCTCCACAGGCGCTTTGCACCAAGGTCCCTGAGCTGGTCCGGACTATCCTGGGCTGGACCATGGAGTACATGCGGGATCATGTCCTGGCCTGGATCCAGGCCCAGGGAGGATGGGTGAGTCCCTGAACCCACTGAGTCCTGGCGGAGGGGGGGGCATGGGGGTGGGCTGAGCCCCGTTTTGGGCCCCCATGCACAGCACGGGAGGCCTGTGCTGCTTTTCTCTCTCTAAGACTCTTGACCCTGAAGGTTTTAACTGTGTCATCCTGCAAGTCCTGCTTGACTTGGGGGGAAAGGATGGGCCCCCCCGTGACACCCCGTTTGCCCCTCACCCCACCTCCTGGTTGCTGCCCCCCCCATAGCCCCTGTTCTGCTTCACACCAACGCATTTTCCGCCATGGGGAGGGGACCCAGAAATCTGGTTCTGCCTCGGGGGACACACACCCACCCCCTGACATGTGGCTGATGCCCCCTCCTTTCCCCCTTGCTCCCCCAGGAAGGGCTCCTCTCCTACTTTGGCACTCCGACCTGGCAGACCATCACCATCTTCGCCGCTGGTGTCCTCACGGCCTCGCTCACCATCTGGAAGATGTCATAGACTTGGCGGAGGCCGCAGCCTAGCCCCCAGGACTGGCCCCTGCCGGCAGGGATGGTGCTGACCCCCCCTCCAGCCCCTTGGGTGCTGTGCCTTCCAGGAGCGGGGGGGCTTTTTAACAAACAGGACTTTGTTAAGACTTGCCCTGAACTTTGGGGTCTGCCCTCCCCCAGGGCAGCTGTGGCCCCCCCAGACCTTCCCCCAACAGTGGGCAAATGTGCCTGGGGGCCACGGCTGGGACCCTGCCAGATTCAGGGCGGGGGGGGGGGGGGACCCACACAACTTCACCACCACCCCCTCTGTCCTCCAGTCCCAGTGCTGGGGTGCCCCTGATGCCTAGGGATGGGTGGCTGTGGCCCCCAACACAGCCCCGGCCTCAGAGAGGTGTGACCCCAGGACTTGTGGTGCTTTGGGTATCGTCCTGTGATCTCAGCCCCACCCCCCCGATATGGGGGATGAGGGGTCTTTGTGACCCCCAAAAATGGGGCTATTGGGGGGGGTGGGGGGGAGGGTTGCAGCCATGGTTGCAGGTTGGGTATTTATTGGGGGCTCCCTGCCCTGAGAAAGGCCCCCCAGGTGCAATACACCCCTCCCTGGGGTGGAGGCCCCCTCCCTGGTGGTGGCTCTCAGGGTGGGGGGGGCCATACCCCCCATTTACACCCCCCCTTCTCCCCCGGTTTCAGAGGTTCCCCTTTTGCAATCAGTGTCCCTAAGGAGCTGCCCCAAGGTGGGGGCAGAGTGACGTTCCCCATCCCCACTTGGTGCTCTTTGGAGTGATGTCATGAAATGATGATGTCATGGGGGGAGCCCTCCCTCTGGCTGGGGGGGCCCTGCCTTCCCCCCTGTTTTCTTCAGATTTTTTTTTTTTTGTACCTTGTTTTGTATCTCGGGTATTTTGATGTCTGAAAATAAAGGGGAAACGGAGCCCTGTGGTGCTTTGTGTCAGGCCGGGGCTGCCAGAGT